TCTGTGACTGCAAGATAGAATGAAGCAAGGCAAAATGTGGCCATGAGGTAAGAATGAACTGACATATGAGCAAATCATAAACAAAGATTTCTGCATCTAATTTTTTAAAGGAAATATTGATTTCTGATGACTAATGTAAGTAGTAGGGTAAGGAAAGGGAAAACATTAGCTGGGCTTTTCTGGACTAATCTCTGCTGCAGATTTAGGTTGTCTAGGGTTCATCTTTTTGGCACACAAAAGTTAAATTACTTAAGAAAGAAGAGTCATGGGTAAAACAAAAATGTACTGAATTAAAATCCTTGAAGGCAATAATAGCAATCAAACACCAGCATGAGACCCCCTTTGCTACCTGTTCTGATGGAGAACATGCTTATCCTGCTGACAGAAAAAAATACAAATTATGACAGTGTGACAAGGCCTTTGACCACATCAATAGGTTGGGCTGCAATTGCTGTTCATTTTCCTTTCAAGATAGCTTCTCACCAGCTTCTTGGCAGACAATCAAAACACTGTGTAAATGATGCTTCAAGGGACAAATGTGAGGCACCCAGGAGCTTATGGAAGGGAAAAAAATAAAACCAACCAACTCATTTGTTCATCAGTGGGGAAGGGAGAAACACTCCTCTGCTGATCCATATAGATATCACACTTCTTTATATAGAGAAATTCTATTCCTATCTTTCATAATTCTTGTCCTTCAGAAGACAAATGCTTATGGGATAAGATTTCTACCAATTAGTTTCAGCCCTCAAGCTACTTGTTGTTGGGTTGTTGTTTTCGAGTTTGAGCCAAACAGTGCAAAATATTTTGTTGCCTAGATATTTTTCCCCCCTCTGAAAAGGAGCCAGATACAGCAGTTGGGGCCCTGCTCTGAAGGTCACTCAACATGAACCCTCCTCAGTAGTAAAACCTGATGGCTAACAGTAACAGTGTGTATTTTACCAACCAACAGTTACACAGCACTTCTTCTGAGCTGCAAGCAATTTAGAATCCAGAAATACATGTAAATTGTTTCATTTATCTTTCCAGAAAAATTATTTTTAAAGACTTCCTTTTACTTGTTGCAATCTATCTTTTCACATAGCTGTTGAGATTTGGTTTGCAAAACAGGAAAAAACAAGCAAACAGAAACAAAAATGAGCAAGGAAAAGGAAATATTCTTGAGAAGGAAGCTTATCATTTTTATAGTTTTCAACAAAACTTGGACAAAATTTAAAACACAGAAAAGAACTAGCTATTTCCATGTTCAAATACATCACTTCTCTATAGTTCTTCCTGGCTAAGTGTCATGGTTTAACCTGGCTTGTGGCTCAGCACCCTACAGTTGTTTATTCACTTCCCCCTCCTTACCAGTGGGGATAGGGGAGAGAATAAAAAAAACAAAAACAAGTAGGACTTATGGATTGAGATAAAACTATTTACTTGATAGAGAAAAGGAAAAGGATAATAAATGTCTACGCATGCACGCACACACACACAAATGTATACTACAAGTCAAGAGCAAGCAATTGCTCTCACCCCTGACTAATGCCCAGCTAGCCTCCTGAGCTGTGGAAAAGCACCAGATGAACTCCCACCCCCTTCAAAACTCCTTCTGCATGCTGCCATTTGGTATGGAATATCCCTTTGGCCAGTTTAAGTCAGCTGTCCTAATTCTGAACCCTCCCATCTCCTTGCTGAGAATGGCCTTGGCTCTGTACAACATCGCTTAGCAGCAACTATAAACAGTATGTTATCAACACTGTTCTTCTAGATCCAAAACATGGCATCACACCAGACACACTGCAGAAAACAATTCCATCCCAGCTGAAACTAAGACACTATGCCTTAGCTTATGCTATGTTTTAACCTCCCTTTTAGGCCAATTTTCCAGATCATTAATAACTCTTCAGAATTAGGCCTCATCCAAATTTTCCTCCCTCTTCTCAGCACTTCAATTTGATCTAAAAATACTGTTAGTTGAAAGTGCTCTAAAAAAGGCTCAATCACAGAGCAATTGGCATTGTATTTTTTAAGTGTAAGACTAAGTTCTTTCAGATTTCATCCCTGAAAGGGAACAGCATCTTCATCTGTTGGAAAATACACCTTTCAACACATCTTGAAGCTGTAATACCTAAAGTCTGGACTGATGCTGTTCCGAACAGGCAAAATCCAACAGATTGTTTTAATGAAATTTAGTTTTATCAAATTATATTTAATTAACATTTTTAATTATTGCTTGCTGACACCCCACAGGTCTAATAATTATTTTGAGGCTTTCAATAGCAGCTATAATGTCCATCCAGGTTGAAAAACAGCCATTTATTCAAATAACTTTGCACATTAGAATTTATCTAGTGCCTCATACAGATTTTGTTCACACTGTATCACTGTTCAATTTCCTTAATAGCCTCCTCTGATGGATTTGCCAATGAAATTAAAGTTAAGAACTTCAGAGCAGGTTTTGTTGCTAATTTTGTAAAAGACCCAGGAACATTTGGACGTTCTTCAGTGTACAGGTGGCTCATGATTGAAATCAGTGATAAAAGAAACACAAATCTGATTTCCTCAGTCTGATTTTTATTATTATTTTCTAATCTAGATATCTGATTTAAATCCTAGTCCTTAATACTCTGAATGTTGACAAGGTGGTAGATGTTAACATCTCTACAACCAAGTTCAGGATGCAAAGAGGCAGTAAACTGTGTTCCCTAAACATAACACCCACACGTAGAATCATAGAATCTTTAAGGTTGGAAAAGACCTCTAAGATCATCTAGTCCAACTATCCACCTACCACCAACATTGTCCACTAAGCCATGTTTGTAAGCACCACATCTACACATTTCTTCCAAAACCTTCCTAGGGATGGTGACTTCACCACATCCTGGGCAGCCTGCTCTTGTGCCCAACCATTCTCTCTTTGAACCAGAATTTCTTTTAAATTACTTAAATTAATTACTTCTGGGTATATTGACTCAACTTCACTAAAGGTACTTCACTAAAGGTTTGCGAAGCATGGAAACAGGCTGCCCAGAGAAGAAATCTTTCTTAATATCCAATGTAAACTTTTCCTGGTACATCCCGAGGCCATCTTTTCTTTCTCCATTTCTTGTTTTTTTGAGAGAAGAGACTGACCCCCACTTTGCTACAATGTCCTTTGTGGTAGTGGTAGAGCTCATCAAATAAAGAGGAGCCGCTTACATTCTTGCCATCCATTTATGCCATCCCTTCAGCATGTTTAAGCTTCATCCATTTTTCATGCCAGACAGTGGTTGATTCATCTACTGAAGTCAGTATAGACTCTTCACATTTGCTATACACATACTCCTCAAGCTGTAGGAGCAGCTTGGGAGAGATTGGCTTTACAAACTATGATTCTGTAACATGTCATTGCTATTTTTCCTCCAACAAGCAAAAGAAAAGGACAATAAAGAGTCAGAAGTTCTGCAGAATTCAGAGACAAAAGTTCTCTTTGTTCAAAAAATACTTTCAACTTCTATTTCTTCTACAGAAAACCTTCTACTTGTGTTAAATGCACTCAAATATATTGGTGAATTGTTTTATCAGAGATAAACCTCTTGACCTTTGAAGTTACAAATAACTGAATCCTGCAATTAGCGAAGACAGTGCCAGCTTACCTACAACTGTTTTATAGCACACATCAGATAAAAGTATTTTTAGATCAAACTGAAACTGCAGTGTAAGAATGAAGCTGACCAGAATCATAATGCAGAGGAAAACCTCACATGGACATCTGTTTTGAAATTATTCCTGGCTCAAGTAGCAGATCAAAGTGTGCCAGCTACTTTTGATAAGCTCTGATAAGCCCTTGGATATTTTGCAGATCCCAAACTCCTTAACGTAAGAGTCACACTAATCAAAGTTTCTCTAGGGTCTCCTAAAAGTAACTGATGAAATTTCACAGCATGTAAAAGGGCATAGATTGGGAATGAGCTTTGCATTCCTTTCCCCAGGTCTGCAAGCTCCTTCTCACAGGCTCATCTCACAATTACCGAGTGAAATAAATTTAAGAGCATCTTGAATTGTTTCTCTTCATTTGAGTTTCTCTCAGTTTTCTATTACTTTATCCAATAATTAGTTAGAATACATGTAGACGTGGACAGCTACAATGAGTAAAATTTATCTGTCAGGAAATTATTTTCTCTCCCAGTCACATATAAATATATTATTTCCTTCCTGATGACAGGGCTAAACAATGTTGTGATCAGCCACAATGACAATATGGACAATGAAAATTCCCTTTCATAGCTCAGAAGAACCTGAAATTCTCACAAGAAACTGGCAGACTCTCCTTCTTGCCCGCCACTCATCATGAAGGCTGAAAGGCTGATTTAAAATTAAACAGGGGCATTCTGAAATGGAAAAATTCTCACTTAATGGGGAATAAGTCAACACTATTGAGCACATATTCCTCTTCTTCCTTCAGTTTTAATAAGGATTAAAAATCTATGGCAGATATTTCAGGATTACTTTCATTTCCATACATAATATAAGAGTTTAGCTGTTTCATAGTGGCCTAAGTAATAATGGAGAATTAACTACTGGAAATAAAATTGTTGAAATGTAAAAAGTCTCAGCAGAAAAAAAAAAGCAATCATAGCTCTAAATTTTCCAATCAGCATAAACAGGTGCATATCAAAAGTTTTGATGGGAACTTAGAAATCAAAACCAAAATAAAAACACTATCACAGCAAAAATGACAACATTAAAGAACAACCACTTTCCCTCTTCCCACATCCCCAAACTAGCATCCACATTCACAAGCATAGTTTCATTTAACTGTAAGAGAGTCTTGCTCCTGGTGCAAAGGGCAAGCAGGAGAGGTGTCAAGAAGCAGAAGCTCTCATCTTCCCTGGGTAAGTTTTTGTTGGTAAGAGCCCGAGAAGGGTTTGTGGACTGCACTTCACATTTCTCAGAACTAAGTGCACATTGCCTTTCAATAACATCTGGTGCTTTCTAAAGAAGGAAGAAATCATGAAACAGAACCAAGTTCGATCTCAACCCAAACTCAGTTTTTACTTGCAAAGATATTCAGATAAAGGTGACAGGAAGATAGGAGTTATGTTTTCTGCTCCTCTTGTAACAGACTCTGCTTGGCCTTTGGTGTTTTTCATCATACAGGTGTCCAGAGAACCATTTAAGCATCCCACGTCTGAGCCAGAGCCTTGGAGTAGCAAGAAGCAATGTTGAATTCCAGTAGATGTGATGTGAACCACTAGCAGCCACAAGCCCATCTCTGCTCAGCTAAAATGAAATGAAAGTGCTGAGCAGTGAAAAAAAGAAAGGGAAAAAGAAAAGCTTGGAAACAACAGTCTGTAGTTGTATAAGGAATTACTATAAACTTGTGGGAGTAATATTTCATTTTAGATAGTAGTTCATAACTGGGTAAAGCTGTCATATGCTGACAGTACCTTAATTAACTCTAGGAGATGACAATGCTGTCAGTGACGTTAATATTTACCTCCACGTGCTTTTAGTCTGCCACAGTTACCCGAAAGACCCACAAGTAAGAACTGTTCTCTCACTGGTCTCTCTAACAAGTTTAAAGCCATCCCCTAGATCAACCTTGCGTGATCTCAGAGAGTAGGTGCCAGAAAAGGTCCATGTCTCTGAAGCATCCATTCCGAAACACAGGTGATGCCAAATATCCCATGTCAGACATGATACGCTTACATTTTGTGGGTAAGACTCATTCAAAGGGTAGGAGTTGCATTAAAACATGGAGATAACTCACAGGAACGTCACCGGTGAATTTCAATGGGATGAATGTCCAAAAGCATCTAGAAGCAGAACTCTGATCCTTTCAAAGACATAGAGGGTTCCAAACATGTTTGGGACACCTTCACACTTGAGGGCAGTCAGTAAATTTGTTTGACATGGTGAGGCCAGGCACAGCAGATTTGTAGTATCCAATGACATGCTTTGATGCAGGATACTGAATCAAATGCAGAAGTGAGTCTACTCCACTATGACAAGTTCCATATTCCTCTACATTTATCATTTTAATAAGTGAGATTAACTTCTCAAAGCATGCTGTCTAGAATTTATCATGATGACTGATGATGCTTCTGTTGATTTCAGAATAAACTTTGCATTTAAAAAGCATTTTATACTCTGATGTATATAACGCCAGAGTTTTCATTTACTTATGCAGCCACAGCTACTCTTTAGGCAGCCCAAGAACTGAGGCTAGCTTCTTAAAGAAACTGAATAGAGTTATTTTGAAAAATTGTCCCTGCATTTGTGGACAAACTAGATCTACTCCCCACACCATCTTCATGGAGCAAGTCTTTCTTGTGAAGTTCAAGTTGGTTCAAGCCTTCCTTAGAATAAGAGGAAGGATGGAGGGAAGCCTCAGCATTAACCTTTCCAGAAAAAAAAAACAACAAAAAAAAAGATTTTTATTTGATTAAACTTCCATTACAAGAACACAGAATATATCCTAATACTCTCAAATATTAAAATCCAACTTACCTTTATGCATTAAGGTTTCACTCCTTAATGATCACACTACCTACGTTTTATGTAATTTTAATTTTCAGTAAGGTAGTATTAAAAAAGTTTGCAGTCACAGAAATCAATTTTAAGAATATTGCGCTGACATCAAAGGGTGAAGACTGAGAAACAAAGAGGAGGTTATGAGACTGTGGAGGAAGATATCTGAAGTAGGAGAGAGAAGAATCTAGCCAGTGTAAAAGCACGAGTAATAATTAATATTTACACAGCAGAGGTGGATTCCCTTGTACATTCTCCTAATTGTAAACTAACCTGTAAAGCAGGAATTTAGATGATACTGCTGATCTCAGTTGGCCTAAGAAATCCCAATACAGCTAGGTAACAACTCTTAGACTGCTCATTATACATGATGCTGGCAAAAGCTTAAGCTCTGAAAAACACAGACATGACACCCTGATCTCCCAGCACAGTTGCACAGGTGTTTATCTATCATGTGCTATCCAGTAAAAATATAATTAACCAAAATGTTAGCAGGAGATGTTTGGAAGCTTCCAGCACATTGTTCTCCTCAGGATGGACAATTTCCAGTTGAAAAAAATGGGTGGCTTGTCCTACTTAAAAATATTAACATAATTATATAATCAGCATGAGATATCTATTTCTCATGTCAAGATCTGATGCCCCTAGGTCTTTCTACTAACCGATGAAGGCAGTATGAGAAGAAACCTGCTGCAGAAATCAAAAACAGATCTGGAAAAAACAATTTGCTGTCAGACCGATTAATAGAGGAGCTATTGAATGAACAGAGACTCTCAAGAGATAAACTGCCATCAAGGCATGGCTCCCTAGCAGCACCTCTCTGCTACAAGCCATGGTTTCCCAATGGTACCTCTCTACCGCAGCTATTCATATCCCATGTTTCTGTAGGCCAGATACAAGAAAGCTAAATCAATTTGACTTGAAGCTCTTCTTGAGTCTAGGATCACACTTCTTACTTTAAAATGAAAAAAAAAAAAAAAAGCTAGTAAATCATCTGCTAGAATAAAATGTTCTTAATTCACTGTTCCTTAGAATGTTTTAACAAAAATGGGAAGATGAAATAAGCCACATTCTATACACAAAACACATCCTAAGTCAAAAAGGTAAAAGACCTACAGGTTTAATAGCTCCAGGGTTTCTAGTGCCTAATGAAAGATGCTCCTGACCTCACCTTCAGAGTTTTGGACAGCTGCTACTGAAGGGCATATTCGCAGGACCAGAGCCAACCTTCCTAACCCCAGAGCACCATTCTAGTCACTCAGGCACACTGCCTCCAAAAATTAGGTGTTATTTTTCTCTGCCAGCAGTCCTGACTTCTGCCTTGCCAACACATTATTCATGCCAATTTCCATTGCAAATTCATGACAGTATTGACTTTTTCCTATTATTAGAACAGAAACATTAAGGTAAAGCACAGGCTACCCGAAATCCTTAATAGATTATTAAAGTCAGCAGCCGTGCCACAGAATTTCTCAGATTATTTAGCTTTTTTTGTAAAGAAACAGCTAATATATGACCCAAACAATTACTGAATGTGAACTTTTGCAGATAGCCTGAAGGCAGCTGTAGAAGACAGGACAGAGCAACAATTTCCAAAGAGCAGCAGGCAGTCAAGCACTGTCTGCCAGGATAAAGCTTCTCTTAGTTCATTAGCATCAAGAGGGAATCAGTTAATAGGAATGCACTTTCACATACGTTCAGCTTTTTAAAATGCCTTTGAGCTGGGGGATTTTCTTTGGGCATGGTGTTGCACTGCTAAAATAAATCTTTTCTTAGTAAGAGGGAAAGGTAAATTTTCCTTGTTAAACATCAGTTCATCTGCACTTAGAACAGCCCTAAGAATCACCAATGTAAGTGTCAGAGTTTTGGCTTACCTCTGCTCAACACTTCCGAAATAATTAACATAAATAATGAATAAATTGAAAAGAACAGCAACAAGGGAAGGGCAAGTGAGCAAATGGAAACTGGAACATAGGAGAGGGTGGGAAGAATGACTTCAGACTTAGGTGTTTCTGATGTAGTATAATGGCTTGTTTAAAACAAAGTCCTTGAAGGGCTTAATGGAAAACCCACCATTATCATTTCCTCAACAGAGGAACTAAGTAAATAAAAATCAAGCAAACAACAACAAAATCAACTGTCTTTATAATCACATGAAGCCAGACCTAAATAAACAAGTCCAATAATACAGTGAACCCTTCAAAAGAAAATTGAATGTCTTTTCATCCTCCTTGTGCTGCTTATCAGAGATTTAGGAAAAATAGAAAGTTGAACACTAATCTGTTAGGTTTCAATGAAAATCTGCAGGACAAAGAAGGGATTTCTGATGTTGTCCTAGAAGAGCAGGCAGGCAGTGCAGGCTGGAGAATACTAGCAAGGGCAAGAGAAATGTTAATCTAGGCAAACCAAATGTAAGAAGCTTCATGAAGAGCTGGTTAATCCATTCCAGAAATCCAGTGCTGGCAAATAGGGCATGCACTGACCTATACCGAACCAGATGAGATAAACTGAGGAAGACAATGTGGAGAAAGAAGAAAAGAAGAAATAAAAAAAGAAAAAAGCACTGTTTCCGTTTGGGGCTATTTACTTCCTCTACTACATGCTTGTACTCTTCAGAAGCAGGATTCAAGATGGAGGTGTCCCAATGAAAGCCTACCACAGTTGTATTTGCATCTAGAGATGCAGTCAGTGATCCAGAAGAGAGATAAAACACACTGAATCAGACTGAAATCCGAGACTAAAATCCTTCTTCACTGTAACTGTTTCTACTCAATTAAGTTAAACTTCCGAAAGGCCAAGGAAAATTTTGTTTATATATACACACACTGTAAACACACATGGATATATATACAGAGCACCTGATTTCATCTCACTATGACCTGTTCCTAATGTGGTATTTTATGATAACCATTGCACACTTCTTCAGAATATATCAGTGGCACACTATGATGTCACTGTCACAACCAGAACACAGAACATTCACTGAAATTTCTTCTCTCCTACTTATTTTCCTCACAAAATAGCACAATAACTATAGGCAATAAATGATTCCCATTTCTTCAGTACTGAGGAGGTGAAATACATGATCTCTAACAAAAAAGCACTCAGATCTTAAAGGACAAAAAATTCTGAAGATTTTTCAATAATCCAAAATAAGGATGAATACTTCAAACCTTGATAATACAAGCTTTTACCATTCTCTGACAGGTATTTCTGGATAAATAAATCTGTATGTTTTCTGTCCAGAAAAGTCAAGTCAGTACTGGATCATTGCATACAAATGCTTACTTATAGCAGATAAAGCAGCAAATCTACATGATTAGCTCAGAACGTAATTACAAAAGGGAGCCATAGGATAGATCCTGCTATCAGCTACACTGCTTTTAACTGCGGTGGATCTGAATGGAACTCCTCTAGTTTTACACAGGATTAACATAGGCAGGGTACGACTTGTTTTCTTAATTTCTCCATAGCAAAATTATTATAGAGGGAAAGTTTAGGTGAGTGTCTTGTATAACAAATTGAGAAGCCCCAAAAAGAAGGACTTCATGGTGTTGGCAAGTGGAAAAATTCAACTTGGGCTGGCAACGTATGCTTACAACCAGAAAAGCATCTCTAACTTGGACTACATCAAAAGAAGTGTGGCCAGCAGATTGACAGAGGTGACTCTCCTTCCTCCTCAAGTTCATGAGACCCCACCAGCAACATTGCATTCATCTCCAGGGCTGCAGCATAAGAAACCTGTTGGAGTGGTTCCAGAGAAGGAACATCAGAGACCTGGAGCACCTCACCTATAAAGATACAGAAGTTGGGTTTATTTAGCCTAAGGAAGGGAAGGCTCTGGGAAGACCTTACAGCAGTCTTCCAGTGGTTGAAAAGAACACTAGAGAGTCTTTATCAGGGAGCACAGCAGCAGGACAAGGTATAAGGCCTTTAAACTGCTTGTGGCCAAGAAGGTTGATGGTATCCTGGGGTGCATTAAAAAGAACATAACCAGCAGGTCAAGGGAAGTGATACTTATGTTCACCTCTGGAAAAGATGGATGTTCATCAGTCTAACCATCAGGAAATCTATACTGCTTCTTTGTCATGTATAGGTAGCAAGAAGAGAGTTGTGAGAAAGATTTTTTCAAGCCAAACATAAGAAGAGGGCTGTCTGGCACCTAAACTTTTTCAAATCCTTGTCTCTGATTACAATAACCTAAGATCTTTAATTTGCACACACAAATAAAATGTATTTTGCAACAGCCGGGGTAAGACCTGTTTTCCGTCAAGAAAATGATAGAGTTATCTTGCTTTTTAGGTTTTATCTTCTCTACAGTTGGTCATAGACTTAGCCAAACCCACCCCATTTATTTACCTCCTTATTGTCCGCTTTTCTTCCACAAGGATGTACATAAGTACTGTCTCAATGTCTTTATACTAGACCCTGGTTAAAATGACATTTTTTTAGTATTACAACTAGATTTAGATAATTGAAAGTCTTCCTGTGTGGAAGTTATATAAAACAAATATACAATATTTATAATATTTAATATAATATTTAGTATTTGTGAAGCTAAATATAGCTTCACAACATCACCTAGAAAGCTACTTAGGGATTTTTCCCTTTCAGTTTCAGAAATTCAGCCTCAACACCTAAGAAACTTCTGTTGTTAGGAGGTGGGAAAAAAAATTGCATATCTAGTTTTTATTTCTGGAAAAGGCCTATGCTCAAGTACATTTTTACAATACCTAAGACTACAGAAATTACATGCCCAGTTCAGAACTTATTCAAGAGTAACAACGGTAGTTACACATCAACAGCAGTTCTAAGCAATTCAGTCCTAAAATCTGCTACCCTGTTGGAGAATAAAACTCACAGACAATTT